TTAATTATCAGTCAAGTTCATGCTGTGTTGAAGATTTGGCATGGTGTGTGTAGTTAACTTTATATGCTAATATAAGCATATTTAATCTGTAGGTACACGGTGCCTAATAATAATGTCCCTGTTCTGTTTTCCTTTGAACCGTTCACAGATTTTCAGCCAGCTGAGATCGATGCAGTTAAACAGTGTGTGTTTGAGCACATGAACCCAACATGTGACCTTATGTGTTTTAGTGACGGAGAGGGGAAAGAGAAAGGGGGAGGCTCGGCTTGTACTTTGTGCGTCCTTTCTGTGTGAACAAGTGTTGCTGCAGTTTATCAGCGCAGCCTTGTAATCTCTGCTCTGCAGCTTCACCCCTGCTGCTGGACGGCTTCGCTCCACACCGCCGTACAAACAATACACACACACACACACACACACACACGTTCAAATATAGATACACCCGCTGAAAGGAAATATCCTCAGCAGATGATATTTCTGCTGAATGCTGCTTTTAATACAGCTCTCTAAATGGTTTTTGATACCTTTCTTGTGTTTTTTTAATTTAATTTTTTTTCCCAGTAATGTCTCCCAAAACCTTTATTATTATTATTTTATTTTTTCAGGTATTTGCTGTTTTTTTCACATCAGCATTACTGAAATTTTAAGCTCATGCTGTACGTTTTTTTTAAGAACATCCGACAGTGAATCTGCAGTTTCACTTCTGTAATAAAATATTTGATGAATAAACACATTTTCATTGACCCTCAGTGACCTGCACGACTCCAGCTCCTGTAATTAAAGTGATAGTATTTTAGTTTTGACGTGGGCTCAAGGAAAGGTAATGAACAGTTAATATATGACTTGCAGTTTTCTGATCAACCTCATCTTGAGAAATTGTTTAATTCTGACCAGATTGATGAGCTAACAAAAATCATTCAACTCTGTTTTGTAAACATTTAAATAACATTTAATTTCACACATCACATCATTATTCATTTACAAAAATGGTGTTATTCTTGTAAGAAATTGCTGCAGCCAGTTACTTTTGAAGATAAGCAGATTTAGGGTTTATTTTGATCACATGAACTGCAAAGTCTCTCCAAACTGAAGTGGTTCAAAGAGCTATCTATAACAGGTAAGATATTTATTGTTCATAACCATTCTGACGAACTCCTCTTGACTAGATCTGTTCGTTTTGCAATCACACCTAACGTCGCCTCAGTCAGTGTAATAAAACATGTCCTCTTATCCTTCGTCGTCCTCCTCCTCCTCACATTTACTGAAAGACGACTCCCTCGTCGCTCTCCTCCCTCACTGACACACTCACCATATATATCACACACACTCTCACCCACTTTCTCTTTATAACACAACTAATTATCTGTTTCTGTCAAGAACACACACACTTAAGCACGACCGCACACACACACTGCTGGGTGTGCGTCGGTGGTTTTCCAATGAGGCAGTTTCGGGGGCTGGTGTCGGCTCTGTCTAGAAATCTCAATCTGAGTAACTGCAGGAAAACAAAGAAGAAGTTTAAAGGTGGGAAAAGTCAAGTAAGTTTAAGATTGATATTTTTTATTACATACTGTTTTTATAAAGATAAACACTAAGACATAAGAGATTTTTACTATTTGTGTCACAGCACTTTTGTCAGTACTTTGTTAGTACACAGTACTGTTGTCAGATTATTAATACAACCAGAGGCATGTCATAAAACAGGTTAACTTTATTTTTTTGAGTTAGAATAACTAAATGTATTTCTTTTTAACTTTTGATGCTTTGCTTTGTATTTTTGTTGCATGCTTTGGTATTTCTTGATGTTTTTTTGGTGAGTCGAGACGGTTCTTCTCGTCCTGAGCATTTCGTTGCATTGTTGACCTTGTGTTGACCTGCATATGACAATAAACAATAAACCTAAATCTAAAGTCACTGAGGAACAAACTCCCACATTAAATTTTTTGTCATATCGATGCGTCCTCAAATTAAAGGTTTGTAATCAAAATTTGTGACTGAATGCCAACCTCCAGGTGTGTTTGTTTACCTACAGAAGAACTCATGTGACTTTTTGTTGTTGTTGTAAATTTCAATTATAACAAACAAATAAAAAACAATAACTTGTCATGTGACCCGAGCTTCCTGGTGACCTGCGATGGAGTGAACGCTTTCAAACTGCCTTATTATTATGATTCAGGATGCTCTTTAAAAACAAATGTTTCATTTTTTTTTTTATGAACCTTGAAAATGACTGCATATTGTCAATGAACGTACTGTATGTGTGTTTTGTGCTGCAGATGAAGAACTCACAGTCACTCTTTATCTCTTACTTCCTCATTTATTGCCATCTAAAGCTGAAAATAGCCAGCGTCACTTCATTTAGAGGCCACCTTTAATGAGCCACAACTTAATCTGCAGTGTGTGTGGGTGTGTGTGTGTGTGTGTGTGTGTGTGTGTGCCACACTGATAGACGGAAACAAACTGTTCCTATTATGAGTTTGTGTTCAAGTTTACAATCAGATCTGCCTGTCTACCTCCTAGACTTTCTTAAACATCATGCTGGGTGCCATATTTAAGTTGATATGATAGTTTGCATGAGTAATTTTCTTCACATTGATTGAACTCCTGTATTATTCTTCATCTTTCGGCTTTTCCCTCTTCAGGACAGCGAGTCATCCTCGTCCATCTCACTCTGTCCTCTGCATCCTTTGTTCTCACTCCAACTACCTCCATGTCCTCTAACTGCATCCATAAATCTCCTCTTTGTCTTTTTCCTGGCAGCTGCATTTCTAACATCCTTCTACCAGTATACCCACTGTCCCTCCTCTGGACATGTCCAAACCATCTCAGTCTGGCCTCTGACTTTATCTCCCAGTTGTTCAACTTGTGCTGTACCTCTGATGATCTCATTCTTAATCTTGCCCATCCATGCCACTCCTAAGGAGAACCTCAACATCTTCATTACTGCCACTTCCAGTTCCTTCTCCTGTCTATTTGTCCATGTCTCTGTCTCCAGACCATACAACATAGCTGGTCTCACATCTTGTAAACTTTTCCTTTGACCTTCGCTGACACAATTTTGCCGCAAATCACTCCTGAAACTTTTCTCCATCCACTCCATCCTGCCTGGACTCTATTTTTCACCTCTTTACCACACTCCCCATTTTCCTGGACAGTGGACTCCAACTGAAGTCCTGCACCTTTGTGACCTCTGCTCCTTGTAGCCTCACTGTTCCACCAGCCTCCCACTCATTCACACACATGTACTCTGTCTTACTACGGCTGACTTTCAGTCCTCTTCTTTCAAGTGCATACCTCCACCTCTCTAAGTTCTCTTCCACCTGTTTCCTGTTCCCAGATTGAACTTCATTAGTTTACTTTAATCTGTTTTAACTGCTTTTAACCTGAACATACACAGGTCTGTCTATAGTTTCATCCCTGTGGTGGCGATATTAGAAGTACACGTCCTCTTGCCTTCACTGTGCTGACACGCACACACATGCATATTAGTCTCATAATTAAATAAATTCTCGACAAAAACATAAAGAGAAAAAAAATAACTGAAAGTAGATTTAGTTCGTGCATTTTTAGTCTTAACTATTTTGCCGCATAATTGATGTAACTCCTGGAGGTGTTACAGTAAATTACTTTTCTGAATCAATTCACAGGCACTAAAGAGCTGTGAAACACACACACACACACACACACACACACACACACACACACACACACACACACACACACACACACACACACACACACACACACACACACGCGCGCAAACTATTAAAGTAAATGTATAAACAGCAGGGCTGCAAAGTAATCAATGTTCTGTGTTCTCAGTGGGTTCTCTGCATCTTAACATTTTATTCTGTTCAAATGAAACTTGTTATTGAGGACAACTCTTTTAATTTGAGAATTTTTAAAGTCTTTATTTTTAACTTGTTTTTTGTTTGTTTAATTTAGTCTTTAGATTACCAATTACTCTAAAGCATTGTTTGTTTTTTTACATTTATGAGGGCCTATTAGTCCACACTGCACAAAAAACAATTTCCAACTTATTTTTCATGATTTTAGATAGTGTGTACAACAATATTGTGTGCAGTTTAAAAATAGCGTTTAGTGTTGTAGAGACTGGAATTAAAAGAAGAGCACTTTCATTTTCTTGTGTCAAACAAAAGTTACGATTTGCTGCTTTTGAAATTTAACCAGATGTGTTTCACCCTGTTTTCAGATGAAACAAAAGAAGAAGGGCTGTGTCCGGGCTGTATTTTTTGTTTGTTTTCAGCTAACTGTAATTTTTGGCTCTAAATAAGAAACTGAAAGTAGTTACATATGCTTTTTTTTATCTCTGCAAACGCTCTTTTCAGTGCTTGATCACGTGAACCTCTGCAGTCTTTGTGAGGCCACTTTTATCTTTTTGATTTGTGGAGTCGTACAAAGTGTGTGTGTTAATGTGTGTGTGTGTGTTATCCAAGCTTTAAAAATGTGTTGCTGCTCAGTCTCCGTCCATGCCACCAGAGATTACTTCATTTGATCTGGGACAGGTGTGCAGAAAACTGTGGATTAGTGTGCAGTTTGTATTTTATCTGTGTGTGTGTGTGTGTGTGTGTGTGTGTGTGTGTGTGCGTGCGTGTGTGGGTGTGGGTGTGTGTGTGTGTGTGTGTGTGTTCCTGTGCTCTGTGGACACAGAACACAGCGTGTGAGGAAGAGGAGGAGAGCATTCAGATTAAACATGTATCTGTGTCTGTGTCTGTGCACTCCTATCCCAGATTACCCTCAATTTATCTTTCAGCTGCTGACACATGATCTGAATGACATCATTGGTAACGTTAGCAGTGACATCATCGGTGACGACACAATATGTCCTTTTCTGATCGCTATTTTAATCTTTTGTCTGCAGCCTTAGGGGGATATGATGACGTAACCAATTTCAGGCTCGTTGATCACTTCAAAGAATGAAATTAAATGAAGCTGTTACAGCTTTGCAAGATCTTTTAACCTGCTTGTTTCTATGGTTACAGGTGATCCTGACGGTTTACCTCAACGATGCCCAGCAGATGCTAACTGAGGTCCCGGTGACCCCGGTGACCCGAGTGGTTGACGTGGTGGAGTACTGCAAAGAGGCTGGCGAGGGCGAGTGTCACCTGGCTGAAGTATGGAACGGACACGGTGAGTCCAGTTAGCAGGCGAAGAATGAAAACATGAACTCGTGTTAGTTATTAGACACTCGACAAGGCACAGTGTGCTTTGTGAGAGAAAAGTGTGATCATTTAGTGAAGTAATTTAATTCAAAGTTGTTAATTTTTCTTTTGAGTGTTAATTTTTCTCCTTAACGGTCCCTGCTTTTTTTTTTTCTTCTACATGCTTCTCGGACATGGCCTAAAACAGATGTTTTGAGTTACACAAAGTAAAATAAAACAAAAATGGTGCAAGACGAGTGCTAACCTCGCCCAGTGTTTACTTGAAAAAATAATTAATCGTGCTTTTTATGTAATATATAAAATTGTTTATCTAGAAGTCAACTGGTTCTTTTTCTGTACACAAGTTTTTTGGTAATTAACTAACCTTATCCATCTGTTGTTTGGTACTCAGCAGGTTCAGTTTCTGCTGTTTACTGTGGAAAACAAGAATAATTAGCGAAAAAGAACCAAAAGAAGGCAGTTGCCTTTTAGAAAACCATAAGAAATGTGCTGATATTCACTGAAATTCTTCACCGATCTAACGGAACAACTGCACTTTGTGATGACGCTCTGGTCAATCACATGATTTAATTCATGTGTTCCTCTTTGTTTGTCTCTTTTGGTAAAGTTTTATATTAGAATTTCATTTAATCTGTGATATAGTGAACTGTATGATGTATCCAAATACAGACTTTGTTACAAGATTGATTTTAATCTGTTTTTTATTCAGCCTGCATCCATTTTTTCCCAAGCGTTCAACTCTTTTTTTTTTTGTCTTTACTAATTTTATATTTATGCTATCCAGTCCTGCTGATCTTGTCCCAGTCGTTTTCTTCCTACAGATGTGTAATAAGTTTATGAGCAGCAGGTATTAGATCTGGAATCAGATGAAAGTGGAAGCAGCTCGTTTGTTGTCCTGTGGAGCAGCAGAGAGAGCGATTCTCCCTGCGATCTCCTGCAACTCAGCAGAAAAGCATCAGTTTCTATTCCTGAATAAATTTAGCTTCAGCAGCAGCTCCAGAAGCAGTCAAAGTTTTGGGACAGCATCACAGACGCTGGATATTCACACTGGATTTGTTGTCGTTTCGCTCTTCTTTCAGCACCTTCACCGAATCCTGCACTCGCATAACTACTGACATCCTCTGCTTTGAGGATCAGAGTGCGTACAGGATTATAATCTGGTATTATATGACAGGATAATCACAGTGTGAACTGGCCTGGAAGCTAATTATAAACAGTCAGATCCACGGTGCAGCTACAGCTAGTAGAATCAATATGGGACGGAGTGCCTCCTGTTTATTGTGTAACACCGTAAGCTTGAATAGACCGGTCCATCTCCCGCAGACGCATAGAGACCGTCTCATTTAAAACTTGGCCCACATTCATGCACGCATACAGCATCTACTAACAGCGCAGTGTGTTTGTGCAAACCACTGGTGAGACTGAGCGTCTCTAATGTGTCTCATTGTTGGTGGAACATATTAAGGCTGCCTTGTGATGAGAGGTCAAGCCTTAAGGGTACTAAAGGTTTCCTGGTCGGTGTGTTCATGGCGAGATGCACTAATTTTGTCTGAATGATAGACTAAAACATTTTACCATGAAAATATGGCTGCTGTCACCCCATGAACTTTAGCTTTTCTCTTCTGTTCTGAACAAAGATGTGGCGGTTTTTACGTCAATCGGTCAAAAAGTTGCCAGTTGTGATTTTTAGATAAAAAAATGTGTTGCAGATGTTTTTTAATTAAGAACCAGGTGCTGTTTACATTTTTTACTATAGATTGACCCTCAAAGAATGATATTCTAAGAGTATACTATATTACGTCTTGTAATTTTCTTGACATTGAATTTCCTTATATTTCTTGTTTTGTTGTGCTCATATGTTTTAATGTATCACTTTATACAAAGGTGTAGGTGATATTTTTGCTTGTTTTTAAAATGTTTTTAGCCACACCGCTGTTAGATTTAATTAGTCAGAAAATACTAAAACCATCAAGTAGCTACATGACTTTGAAAAGTATCCCATGCTGCCCTTAGGGTGAAATGACCCATGACGCTTTGGTCTTTAACAATGAGTCCTTGTGGGTCATTTTAACCCAAGGGCAGCAGGAGGGTTAAGAAAAAAGTACTGATTAACAAAGAATAACGAGACAAACTAAAGACATTGATTTATTAATGACATATCTAGGGATGCACAATATTATCAGCATGGTATCGGCCGATATTAGCAAAAAAATTAAATATTGAACATTGTCCATTCCATCAAAATAACTCACCGATATAAAAGGTGCTGTTTTTGCATGACAGTGACAAGGATGCCTGCAGCGCTAGCACAGCGTTGTGACATCACGCACGCCGTCGAGATTAGATTTGTGAAAATTTACAAATGTGCACTGTTCAAGTGTTGTCATTGTGTTAGAGAGAATAAATGTCATGAATAAATTTGACATTAAACATAATCCAAGTTGAAGTGTTACATCATTTTCAGCCCCCTTTTTAGCATCTGCATTTGGTAGCAGGCCAAATTGACAAAGACCATGCAGAATAATGTAGAATTTTAATCCCACAACAGAGAAAGCTACGAAGTCTCTGTAAGTAGTTCTAGGAAAAGAAGTATGGGTATTTGTATCGGTTATCGGCTAAATTTAACATATCGGCATATCGGATATTGGCCAAAAATCCAATATCATGTATCCCTAGACATATCCCTGTCCTTGAACGCACCACAGTGATGTGACGTTATTTAATGTCAGTTATCTAACATCATCTTCCTCTGCGTCCTTTTTCAGAGCGTGCTCTCCCTCAGGAGGTGCTGCTGATGGATCTCCTGCAGCAGTGGGGAGCCAGGAGGCCGGAGGTCAGCTTCTACCTCAGACACTGCCCCGCCTGGCCACAAGGTACACCCAAAACCAAACACGTTCATGTCGATCTGACGAAACCTCGAAAACCAGAGAAACAGATCTGAAGGTTGGCTTTAAAGAGACGGTGGGGAAAGAAAAACAAAACCCACCAATCCAGTGTGAGGTGTAGAAGTTAGGTCAGTGACTCGGACAGTAATTAGCCTGATAAGACGCTTACAGTTACATAATAAGGCAGATTGGGCGGAGCTACAAGCGTATAAGTCACAATATTTGTTTTATACTACTTAACTAAAAGAGTGCATTAGTGACACTGAGCTTGATAAATTACTTTATTTCATTTAATTGAAGAACTTGAACCGAAAGGCAGTGAATTGTGGGATATCTGTCCCTGTTGGAGCCAATGATCGATCTGCTCCGTGTGGGGGTGGGAAAAGCTCACCACCTGCTGCTGCGTTCCTTCTTGCGCATCAGTCGTTAAAACACAATTATCATTCATTAGACTCTCATCATCATCATGTTTCAATGAACTGTTTGGGATTAATTAATGCATTAACTTGAGCTTTATCATCTTTTTGTCTGCATCTAAACCAGTCCTGAAGTTGCGCCGCGCGCGTGTCCTCATTCCCATCAAACGTTCAGCTGACAGTAAACAGATCTTAGATGCAGTCTCACATCATTTGCCTGCAGCTCTGTAATAGCTTTAACGTGAGCTGGAATAAGATGAAAAGCGCAGCAGCTCATTTTGTCGCCTGCAGTGGGGAGAAGAGAGACAGCTCCTCTCGCTCGGGTTCCCCTGCCTCTGAAGTATGGATGTGTTTTTAAACTGCATGTGATATCTTAACGTCTGACAGGCTGGCTAATGCATCACCCTGAAGCTTCCTGCTCTTTACCTGCTAGCTTATATTTGGCTTCTTATCTAAATTTCATGAAACGTCTTATTAAAGCAGTAATTTATTCTCTGTGGACCAGATCATTATAAAATATTACCTCCTCGTGCTAATTTACCAGGATATGTGCCTTCTGTGACTTACTGACGAGGTCTGCACCTCCCACACAGAGGCACCGCTTTCCTCCTGCAGAAAAAATCTGCACGACTGCTCAGATTACGAGTTTTTTAGTGGAGAGCAAACTGTTCTCACCAGGATGGGACAGACACCCTCCTCAGTTAATCATACATCACTCCCTGTTTGGTTCCTGCTTTGTTTCACTTTTTATCATTTAAAATATCTCAAACTTGTAATAGAAAGCAGTTTTAATGACACACATTGTTTTTGTCTCTGTATTCTTCGCTCTATTGTGCCAACTATAAATAGCATTTTAAATCTACCCTGACCAGACAGTTTGAATCTGAGCTAATCCTATGCAGCTCCAAGTTTCCCCTCCAGTCAGTGCAGAGTAATTGAGCTGCTAAGTCTTGGTTTAAAACCAACGCACGGCTGTAGTGGCGTCACGTTGACCTGATACAAAGAAGACTAAAATAATGAGCTGCTGCGCTTTTCATCTTAAACTCTGCTGCTCGTTAAACAATGCAGAGCTGAGGAGTCGCAGAACTTCATCACCCAGAGTTTACTCCAAGATGATTTTATGCTGACAATGATAGATAGCAGTCAAACCTTGATATCAAGATATATGAGTATGTGTTGTGAACGACTTTCAGCTACTACCACACCAAGTTTCAGCTCAGTATTTGGAAATTGACTGTCATTTTCATCTCTGCTATTTGCGGATGATGTGGTTCTATTAGTTATCACCGGAGCGGTTCGCAGTCGAGTGTGATGCGGCTGGGATGAGAATCTGCGTCAAATTACGTCAGGTGGATTATGAGATATTTTGATAATAAATGCATGAAAACGTTCATAGAAATCCCTACATGATTAAGTATACAGGCCAGCTGTAAAACTAAAATAAAACCAAGACTTTTATAATCAATATTTTCACTGAACAAGTTATTTGCAGTATATTTGATGTGTTTTCAAACGGAAGGCTGGACAGTTGATTAAAACCATGCTCCTCTTCCTGTCGGTGTCGGGTCACACGTTTTATCGGGTCACATGACTCGACAGGCCTGCATTCACTTTAATACATTTCCCATCCCTGCTCACTTCTTCATTTTCAGGAAATCAGCAGCTTTCAGATCAGAGCTGGACTACAGAAGCAGCAGAGAGCGGCAGTGATAAGGTCAGTCCAAGCTTTTATGTTTTTTTAAACGTCAGTAATATTCTCAAATATATTTCTACTACCAGTTACAGTAAAAAAAAATGTACAGATTCAGCCAGACTTTTAAGATCTTAATGAAGAACAAGATGTAATTTCAAGAAAAGACAACTTTTCTGACAGTATAATTAATAAGGCAGAGAGGCTGCAGAGCAGAACTAAAAACAAAAACGAAATTGTATTACAACCATCTTGTGTGTGTTTTCTTGTGCTTTTTGAAACACTGCTGTGCTTGATTTGTGTTTCTGGAAACATGGATGTGCAGCTTTGGCTCTGTGAGGTTCACCTTTTGAAATGTTCTCCCAAAAACAACAGGAATAAATCTTTGTTTTGACTGTAAACTTTGAGTTTTATTGTAGCTATATGAAGACCTTGTTTTGCTTTCAATCAAAAAGATTAAAATACTCCTTTAAAATGTTTGCAGTGTTTCCAGACATCTATAAAAAAGTTTAAACAAGCTAAAAGATCTTGTTGCTAATGAAAAATTGAAGGCTCAGCATTCTTTGAAAGAATATGACAGATCATGCAATATTTGTTGTGATATTACACGATCTGTTAGCAGTTGAACTATGTGTTTTGAATGACTCTCAGCTACTACTACACCAGATTTTACCTCAATATCTGTAAAATGTCACTCGGGTAAAGCCGTTTTTGTAAGGTCACTTAGTTGTGGCGTCCATCTTGAATTGAGTTGACTTCACAAGTTAATCAGTTGTGCAATCAGTCAGTGCTCAGATTATAATTTGGGGATCAGTCTCAGCTACTACCACACTAAACTTGAGCGCATTATCTTTAAAGCTGTCTTAAGTTATTGCCATTTTTGTGTTTTAAAAGTTCACTTTGCTGTGGCGACCATCTTGAACCAAGCTGACTCCAAAAGCTAAATAGCTGTAGAAGCCAACCAGTTGATCACTGTCTAAAAGTTTCGTTGAAGTCTGTTCAGCAGTTCATGAGATATTTTGCTAACAGACACACAAACACACACACATGGACACAAACATAAATCGCTCCAGGAATCATTCAGCATTTGGTGTTTATTTTCAAACCCTAAAAATAGTTTTATGACTACATGAGTGTTTGTGTGTAACCCAAGATTTTCACCGTTTGTGTGTCGACTGGCAGATTAAATCACGGGATTAGTGAAGGTGATGATTATCCTGCTCCTCCAGAAACAAACAAACAGCGCAGGTTTATTCATTCCAACCAGGATTTGTTTTTCTTACTCGCACAGTACTGAGTCATACTGTAAAAAAAGCAGCTGACCTCCTCACTGTTTTTATTTGTTTTTAAGCATCCTAGTCACATATTTAACCCCAGACCAGACATGAGGCCTGTGGTTAGGCCTCGTTCAGCCAGTCTCGTGTGTGTGTGCATTGGTACTGTTAGTCAGCCAGTGTGTGTGTTGGTCAGTCAGTGAAGGTAGGATTAGCTTGGTCCCATGACATAACCAGGCTAAGAGGATTGTTGGCTGGCCACACAGCTCCTCCTCCTCCTTCCTCGTCTCCTCTTCCTCTCACCTTGTCCACTTCTTTACACTTGTCTCGACGTCTTTCTTCGTTCTCGACTGAACCTTTTTTCGTTCAACTAAACAAAGATTTACAGGCAGCAGAGGAGCGCGGGGGTGAGTTTAAGACTTTTATTTTATTTTTTTCATAATGTGGGCGTTGGAAGCAACAAAAAGTTTATTTACTTCACACTTCTTTGTCTTTTCACTTACTATAAACAATAAAGTAGCAGAAAAAAATGAAAGAACTAAACATAGAAATAGCTTTGTGTCACTTTCTTATTTCACTTTGTTCTTGATTTAAACTACACCCCAGTATCAGACTTTGTGTGTTACAGAACAAGAACACAGTGTTGCTTACATCATGTGAAGACTGGCCGGGTGGGGCCATTTTTTTTTTGTTTGAACCACGTGTCTTTAGATTTTTGTGACTGTGGGGAATCCAGCACCATGTAATCACATCCAAAAGTTCTCACTTTTTTCCTACATCAGGTGTCGAGCGTTTCCACAGATCGACTGCGATGACAGACTTCATATTTTACTTCAATAAGTCTAAGCTTTTAGACTTTTACAAACAAAGTACTTAATTCATAGATATTCAGTGAAAAACAGGAGACATAAAAGAAGCAAAGTATTTTCTAAACTGTCAGTTATAGACCTCAGAGATCAGAATCAACAGGTTTTAAATTGCAATTAAAATCTGCAATCAGTGCATCTCTAATTCAGATGCATTAACTGATCTTCATCAACGCCCAGGAGGAAAGACGTCCGCAGTGACTTTTGAGAACTGTTGCTGTCATTAATCTGGGAACAGGTTAAAGGTAATTTTTTGGAGCCCGTCATTCTGCAAAGAAAGATTATTCACAAGTGGAAACATTTTAAGACGTCTGATGTTCATACTAGGAGTGAACATCTTAGAAGATTCAAGAAAAATCAACCATTTGACTCACAAGGTATTTTTAATATTTTAAATACTTGTTTAGAATTTTAGCTTATTCCTTTTTTTTTTAAAGAATTTTTGTTTTTAAGTCAAAATAGAGATTCCTTACCAACTAATGTTGGAGCAGTTTATATTGTATAGATCGTTAACATAAAAAAAAAAACCACCTATTTTTTCACATGCACTATCACAGAAATCACCTGCCTAATCCTGCTGCCAAAACACGTCTGACCCAAATTATGGGTGTAGGCCCTTTGAGGTTGTGATGTGATTTCTTGTTTTTCTGTTTTGGGCATGTTACTGACCTGGTTAACAATTAGGATGAAGCACACTTTCAGTGTTTGTTGCTGTTTATAGCGGCGCTGCTGCAGTTCTCCTGTCAAACAGTAGGTGTCGCTTATAAGAAAATTATGCCGGTAAACGGCAGGAAGAAGGTGTACTCAAAAGAATCTATTGGAAATTAATTTTTATGTAAATATAACTAAACCTTTTTCAGCGTTTTTATTACGTTTGTAGAAACAAACCTGATCTAGACTTTTCAGCAAATAATTAATTAAAGTACTTTCAAAAACGTATACTTTTTTCCTTCTGTTTCTGCTTCATGGCTTTTTGCGGCAACACTAGACACAAACAAGGACGATTTAACGAGCTGGAAAAAAAGTAGTTATAAAAACTGGCTGAAACTCATGTTTCAGTCTGAAAAAAGAACTTGAAATTGAATGGATTTGTCATGCATGAACAATATTATTGATAAAGTGGGGGTATGGTGCATCGTAATATATTGTGAGGTATTTTGTCCCATCAATGACACCATATTTCTACCTTGCACAGCTTACGTTTGACCTCTTTCGAACAGGAAGTCTACGTGGAAATAAAACAAGATTATATACAAGCGGTGCAACTTGATCCACTTGTTCAAAGTAAATTAGTAGTACAATTACTTTTACAGTATATATAGTAGTAGACGGATGTAGTGTATGTATGTAAATGTTTTTCAGACTGTCATTCCTCTCTGACACACCCTTTAACTGTAACTCAACTCCTTCCAGCTGCGTGTGAGAGCGCAGCAGAGCATATTAAGACCACAAGTCTGTTTTTGAATATGTCAGTTTTTGTGTTGTTCTAGATTAAGATGAACGCTGTTACTGTGTCACCACTTTAAACTTGTGGTAGTCTGAGTTCAGAGACGTCGGCAGACTTCACACACTACGTTTGACACGTGATAGTCCCGATGAGTTCGCTTGCATGAATGAAGACTTTCGGCTGAGATGTTTCTTTTTGTTTCATCTTGGTTTTGCCCGAGGACGCCGTTGATAGACGGGCTGTCTTCTGTGAGGATCAAAGATTAAATCGGTCAGTTAGAGGACGGTGCTTATAACCATCAGGCCTCCCTGCAGTAGTGTGGAGCAGGGGGTTATGGGAGTTTTCTCCTTTTGTCCAGTTGAAGCATCAGAAATGTCTGAAGGCTGTTATTGTAGCTCACAAGGAATATTTTTACTGGAGACACACAGCAGATGTGAAGATCTGATCACTAATAAGTCATGTGTTTCAGATTATAGTTACAACAGAAGGCGGTAAGACGTTGAGCTGCCTCTCTCAGTTTATTCTGTCTGGTGTTTTTCATTTCTTATAGTTTGCAAATTGACAAAACCTTAAATCTGCATCCAAAACACATTTTCATCATCATAATTGCTTCAATGTATGAGACGAAACGGAACAACAGTTAATAACCTTTAAAGCTTCTTTTGTAGCGTTCACAAGTGTAGAAACAAGAACAAAACAATTGTTTATAGTACGTAAATGTGCTTTAAGAGTGGAGAATTAGAATGAAGCTGCATCTTTAATCATCAGGGTGTTGTACAGAAGCTCATATACGCTGACAGTCAGGAAGAAACAGTCGCCAAGAAAGGAAAACAAAACGCGCCAATCATTTGCATAAAATCTGCAAAGGGGCTTTTTTTTGACAGAACAAAGAATACCGGAGCACTAACACAACATCTAAAGAGGTGAGGAGTACCAGCATCAGAAACATAACTTGTGTAGTACAGGCCTAAAATAAAACTATGTTTTATTGAGCACATTACGAGTTCTTTAATATTATTAAAACATTAGAACTGGAGTGAAGTTTATCTGACGTATTATTTCACATGTCATGGATTGAACAAACTTTTTTCGTTTTTTGAGGTTTGAATTTGATTTTAAAGTGGCTCCAAATTAGTTTGCAGATGCAGATCTGTTTTGATCTTAACCTATAAACGGACTTTAAATCATAATTCGCAGCATTTTAACCTCGTGTGTTAAATAATGGTGCGTTAAGCACAAAATATTTATGGTTCTTCTATTGGCGACTCTCTGCAGACATTGTGTTTTGTCGTCCTGTTTAACAACCCGACAGCATGCTAACTGAAGAAGAGAAAAAGCTGTCCTTAATACAATTTGTATTTCGTCTTAACTTCAGTTTCAAATGGGATTTGCTTTTATATTAAGCTTTTAAACAAGTGAAGAGAGAAATTAGCAATG